CCCCAAAACCCCAAAACCCCAAAACCCCAAAACCCCAAAACCCCTATTTTATAATTTCTCCTTGAATAATGAAATCAAGCTGCTTATATCTTTGAAACATTGACCTGTGGCTTGAACTGAGAGCCCAATCCAAATCCAATTCCATCTTTTTCGAGATCCTCCTTGTCAAATTTGAAATTCATGTGTGAAACCAAGAAAGCCATGACTACTTTCAACTGCATATTGGCGAAAGATTGCCCAGGACAGTTCCTTTGACCATGACTAAAGGCTCTCCTTGAGTAGGCATCTTCGACCTTCCCTGCCTTTCTGGATCTCTCATAGAAATCCGACTCGATGTCATGTCTCTCAGGAACAAACTCAAAGGGCTCAAGCCATTTATCATCTGAAAAGTGGTTGGATATGAGGTCTAGCTTGACCTTGGTCCCTTTAGGAATTGGTACTCCACAGATTTCAATGTCTTCGCTCGCTCCGTATTCTGAGCCACCTGGAACTACTGAATCCATTCTGAAAGTCTCCTTAACAACGTAGTTGAGATAGCTACATTCTTGGATATTATCGAGATTATATTGCTTCTCATAGTCACAACCTTTGGTAAATCCACATCTGGTGAGATCTTTGATGAGTTTTTCATGACATTCTGGGTACTTGTTTAAATAGTACAAGCAAGAAGCCATAGAATGAGCGGTAGTTTCTGAGCCTGCTCCCATGACCAAGAAGAGGTCATCCAGTCCCTCATCCTCACTTAACCCTGGTGAGTAATAGAACTTCTTACCAATAGTATTCTCGTCTTTAGATGTTGAGATGATGTTACGCAAAGCAGCTCTGAAAGTCTGAAGATTTCTATTATCTCTTTTATAAGGATTCATCAATTTTCTTTTAGCGAAAAAAGGGAAAATGAAAGTGACCGGATTATATAGTTGATCAGCGTATCTGGCTGCAAGTCTGATTACGTACTCACCCAAGCCTATTTCTTCTATCTGTCCATCTGGGTTCTCATATGGATACAGCCTTGCGACAAGAGTATCGACATCATTTCCAAATAATATTTTGGTGAATACATCAAAGGTTAGTTTGTTCAAATGTTTCAGTAGATCAGTTTTGCCTTCTGTAGTCATAGCTTCCAGCATATCTTGACAGAATCCAACAGTCCTAGGGATATACTTCGAGGCAGAATTGAGTCCAATCCATGAAGAGAAGTTCTTTCTCCTTGCCATGGTTCTTTTATCACTCCTGTCAACGATCAGAGAATGTTGTAGTAAAACATTAATGCCTTTCTCAGCATTGATTCTATCTATTGATCTAGGCATGAAACTGCAGAATTGTTTGCAAGCCTTATCACTGATAATCATAATGACAGGCTCGATACCTTCTAGTTTTGCCTGCAGGTCGTATTTAGCTAGAATATGTGCTCTTTTTGCATAATGGGCATAATGAACTTTGCCCTCATTAACACATTGTACCTCATGGTTCATATCTCCAACCAGGGGATTAAACTTCTCTGAAATGTATACATTAGAGTATTTGCTGAACTTCTTCCTAAACTTCAGAGGCTGTAGGATAAGTAAGTTTATTAAATAGGCTACAAAGACCAGGAAAAACACAACTGTGCCCTTGGCCAGACCATAAAAAAGATCTTCGAACATAATTAATATTAACTATCCATGTTGCTACCCTTAAACGGGGTTTTGGGGTTTTGGGGTTTTGGGGTTTTGGGGTTTTGGGGTTTTGGGG